TCTTGCTGAAACTCGATACTATTATGTTCCGTTTTCGGAATATTTCGATTTGAAAATAATGGAGTGGTAATGATGCTGGTATAAAATGAATGTTATTGATTTCAAATACCTATTTATTCAGATTCAAAAACAATGAAATTATTCTTGTGCTGAAGTTATTGATGGATCGAAGAATCATACAAGTAGAAAATTAAGAGATATTTGACTAGAAACATGAAATATTGAATCAGTTAGTGAGTTTTCAAAATGTCCTACGTTTAGACGAATACACGATTCTATATTCTTTTCTTAAGAATGTATTAATTCTTTTAAACAGTTGAGGATCAGCTGTTAGGTCATTTGAGTGATCTTCAATTATGTCTTATAACTCTTGACGTGAATTCACCTATGTACCTTAGACTTTCTGCTCAAGATACAACAAAACTGTGTATTCCATGTTGTTATAGTCAAACCTGTTTCGATGTTATTCTTGTGATAAATAAGTTTAGCATCAGAAATGAATTGCTGTTTTCGGTTTTCAATAAATAGGTGATAATTTTTCATAATACTCGCTCTAATACATAGCTTTATAACAGCAACAGTTATCACTTCATCATTTGCAAATCGAAATATTCCGAAAACTGAACACTGTATCAAGTTTCACCAAGAGTACCTTCTTGGTGTGAAATTGAATGATGTTCAAGTACACATCAAATTTGGATTGAAAAGTTTAACCTCAAAAATGTTTTGTCCAAAACTACTCGGTATACGAACCGTGTAACTAGTGCTATGAGAGTCAGATATAAAAACAAATGCATGTGATGTGTCAGATCCCAAGAAGAACCCATACAAAATTTCATCACAATGTTGCCAGTAGCTTCGACATAATCTTGAAAAATGTGTACAAAAATCATTTTTTCAACACCTTGCATCCTAATAACGGATGCCGTTACGAAATTTTTTCACTGAGTAAACCCAACTTATTTTGCAGTGTTCTATATCTACCCTATAGTAAGGGTGTTAGGTTTTTTTGAAACAACCTGTATATCAAAAACAAAACAAGTCAAAGATGATTATTGCACTTTTTTCCATGAAATATGACAATGAATGAAATATGCATGAGTTTTCAGAGTAGTTCAGAATAAATTCAATTCTATATAGCACACAAATCACTCAACCACCACAGTTTATTATTACATGAATGTAATATTCCCTAAACTGTGCATCGACGTTGGATCCATAGGTGCCTACATATTCTATCTATATATTGTAAAGGATGGTCGTAAAAAAGATGTTATGTATTATTTATCTTTATTGTATATATCTATATTATATATCTTCATTATATATCTATATTATATGTCTATATTTTATATCTATATTCAATCAATCAATCAATCAATTTATTTACCACAAAAATTCAATTAAACAGATACAAAATTTCTCGATACATTGGTAAATAAATAACAAACGTCCAAAAAAAGGTTGCCCTTGAACATGGACGTATAGTGTTAGCGTGAAAATTAATAATAAAATTACAAATAGGTATATATATAAATATAGAGTAGAGATAAAACAAATAGTAGAACTAACTAATATTAATATCATCGACTCAGACGGAGAAGTACTTCAAACAGGATGTTTAGTTCTTATAATTAAAGTTTACGGGATATTATATAATATTCAAATTCAAAAAGGAAATGTTCGATTTCGATGGAATAACGTCATTTCACTGGGAGTTTTTCAGCTGCATGCGCACTCGTTTCCAGAGAACACGCCGTAGTCGGACGGTGCAATCGCTCTTATTGCAGCGGTGATTTAGAGCGCTTACACCGCCCAAACGCGACACGCTCACCGAAGACGAGTGTACATGCTCAGGTTTTTTTTTTTTTTTTTCTCTTTTTTACATTACATTTGTGGTTCAAATATTATATTCCTGCCTATCAATCAGCCTATGAACTTTTGTTCTAGGTATGGAATGAATCCATAATTTCAAATTTTTCTTGAACAGGTTGGTGGAATATATATGATGTAGTTCTTCGGGAATGTCGATATATAGTACGGGGCAGAGATAGATAAAGGATCTTTGACTTTTTCGGGTGTTTACTTTAGGTATAACTGTGGTTTTACCTTTCAAGCGGGTATTATATTTATGGTTTATTTGATCTTCTTCTTTTTTATGTTTATGATGATGGATTAGGAGTGCCTGGTAATACAGTTGTCGGATATCTAACGTTTTTGATTCTGAGAATAAGGTTTCAGTAGGGTATCTGTAATTTTTCTCAAAAATAATTTTCAAAATCCATTTTTGTGCTGTGTTCAATGCGCTCAGATGAATGTTATCTATTCCCCCCCATACTTTGATGCCATATGTTAGATGAGTTTGAATAAGTGCGTTGTATAGTATCTTTACATATTCAACATCAAAAAGTTTCCTATACGTTTTAAATCTATTGGCCATGCTCCTTAATTTATTGCTTACATAGTTAGCGTGAAAGTTCCATTTGAGATGATTATCTATAATAATTCCCAAGTATTTATATTTTGGAGTTGATTTAATATCAGTATCCGTATTTTTGAATTTTAATATTTCGTAATTTGGAAGAGTATCATTGTAACAAGTGAATGGCATGAACACAGTTTTGTTAAAGTTGATCGTGAGCAATCTATTATTGAAGAAGTTGATTATTTTGGTAAAATCCTCCTCAACTATGCTCTTCAATGATTCCCAGGTGTAACCCTCATAAAAAATGGCGGTATCATCGGCAAAGCTAGTGATATCGCCTTGGGTTTCGGTTTTGAAGAGGTCATTGATATAAATATTGAAGAGGATCGGTCCTAAAACGGTCCCCTGAGGTACTCCGTATTCAATGATTCTTTCCGAGCTTATCACACCATTAATATTAACACTTTGCTTTCTTCCGCAGAGATAACTTTCCATTAGTTTCAATGGTATTCCTCTGAATCCTAGGCCTTCCAAAATTTCGAGCAGTCTTTGGTGACTGACGGTGTCAAACGCTTTGGCCAAATCGACGAAGATGCAAAGACATGGTTTATTCATATCTAATGATTTATAAATTTTCCTAGTTAAATGAGTCATTGCATCTTCTGTCGATTTTGTCTCTGTAAATCCAAACTGTTTCCCAGATAGTATGTTAAATTTCGTGAAGTAGCTGTTGAACCTATGTTTAAGAACTTTCTCAAATACTTTTGCAACATTACTTATAAGAGATATTGGTCTGTAGTTTACTACTTGCATTTTGTTCCCAGATTTATATAGAGGCTTAATTTGTGCTTTTTTCAAAACACTCGGAAATATACCTAGATCAATAGATTTGTTTATTATTCGGTCTAGCTAGCAAATCTGCATATTCCCTTAATATTTCCGATCTAATCGCATCTGGGCCAGGAGCTTTTCCAGTTTTCAATGTACCCACGATTCTCTCAATCTCAGTTTCTGTTGTTGGTTCAAGATAAATCGAGTTATTTGTTTGTGTATTCTTGATTCCAGTAACTGGAGTTGAGTCAGTGATTATTTGTTGAGCCAGTTTTCCACCAAGTTTGGTGTAATGGTCTACAAAATGTTCTACAATCTCATTTTCGTTTGTTATTTTCTCACCGTTCTCTGTTAGAATTGATTTTATATCATTCTGTGTTCGATGCTTTTCATCAATAATCTTTAGACTTTTCCAGAGTGCACTCGGGTTGTTTATATTTATTTCAATTTTATTTTGCAAGAATTTTATTTTAGCGGATTCAATCAACTGATTCAGTTTGTTGCGGTATTTTCTAAATTCTGTTTGAATATTTTCATTATCGGGTTCATTTTGCATTCTTTTATATAGAGAATTCTTCGTATTGATTGAGTTTATTAGACCTTCCGTGATCCATTCCTTTTTCTTAATATTTTTTCTTTTCAAAGTTATTTTTTTAGTACATAGTTCAAGTTTATCATTGAGGGTATTTATGAATTCATTTGTCATTGTGTTGACATCGCTCCCTGTATATATAGTACTCCAGGTTTCCCTGGCCAATTCATTACGTAGTTTTATCTTGTCTAAATAAAATTTGAATTTTTTATCTTTTTTAATTTTTGGCGTATTAGTTTTTAATTCACATGTGATTTCTAAAGTTATTGGAAAATGGTCACTGATGCACATTTTCGATACGAATGGATTGAGCCAGCTGGTAGACAGGTTTGTTTTGACGAAAATGTGATCAATGCAGGATTTTGCTTTACCTAGAACTCGCGTGTGAGTGTTGATGGCTGAAGTATATCCCCATTCACTAAAAATGTTCAAATATTCCTCACTGATTTCACCACTGCCTAAAATATCTATGTTGATATCTCCTATCACTAAGTTATAGTCGCTCTTGCAACAATTTTTATTTTTCAGGTAGCTTTCAAGACATTTGTTAAATTTATATGGACACGTAGAGGGTGATCTATAGATGGCCGTGATATCAAATTCATAACCATTATGTTTCAGCCCCAATGCAATAACCTTTATTTCATCAAAATCGATTATTTCATGTGTATAATCAAGGTTACTTTTAATATATATTATCACACCATCATTCTGATTTACTGCTCCGTTATTGTACAATATATCATAACCTGGCAGATTTAACGAGAAAAAGCTATCAATTTTCCATGTCTCCGTTAAAACAATAACATCAAATTCATTTCTATACTCGTGCAACGAAATTCTTAATTCATTTAGGTTCTTGAATATGCTACGAATGTTAGTGTGGAATATTCGAAAGCATTCTTTGGGGTGATCTTTCACTAATACATTGTATTCGTTGGTATTTTCTGTAATTCTGGTTTCTATATTTTGTAAATCAAATTTATTTATATAAGGATCCATCGATTACAATGATATGTATCACGTTACACAAGGCAAAAACATTGAATAGCAAAGACTAGAAATATTTTTGAAGTAAAAATAAAGAATAAGAACGAACAAAAAAAAAAGAATGACAAACTAGTGAATCAAATTAATTTTTCTATCATTCAATTAATTAGCAGTTGATTGTTTTCTTTGTGGGTTTCTTCGGGTTTTTTTTGTAGTATCGTCAGAGTTTTCTTCAAAGTTCACTTTTCTTTTCAAGTTTTCTTCCAACTGAAGGCTTAGTTTTTCCTCTTGAGTAGAAATAATTTCATTGACGCTCGCACCTTCCTCAAAATTTATATTTGGGTTCTCAAGTAAATAATCGTGAGTATAAGATTTGTCCCCGATTATTAACTTATTATGTCGCATTACTGCTTTTTTTCCAGCTGATTTGGCTTTGTTGAGAAATAGACGTAAGCCTCTGTGAATTTCTTGATCTTCCTTACTTAGGTCTTCAGTTATATAGATATTCTTTATGTTTTTCTGCCGCAGTTTATAGGCGTTCTTCAATATTTCGATCTTTTTCAGCTGTGAGACAAATTCGAATTTTATTGGAATCGATTCTTTTTCGTTTTTCCCCAAGGGGTAACTATTATTGATATCTTTCAATTCGAGATTGATATCTAAGGATGCCTTTATGAAGTTGATATTATCCTGTATACTGTTGTTCTTCGGTGTTCCGAATATTATCAAATTATTCTTTCTATTTCTGTTCTCTAGTTGTTTTATATTTTCTTTTAAGGCAGAATTTTCTTTTTCCAGTTGGTCTAATTTGACATTAGTAGTGCTAAATTCTTGTTTCAATTCTTCCAATGTATTTTGATTTTTTTCCACCTTGCTATTTAACGAAGTGAGTTGTTCAAGAATGTTTGTTAAAAGAACGTCTGTCATACTTTCGGTAAGAGCGTCTTTCAAATCGGAATGGAAGGATATCAGGCACAGACACCACGGCGGTTAGCTGTATACTGAATTTATTGAATTTATTCAGGTGAGATTCGATGGCGTTTTGTTTGGGATTTCGGTGTTTCCGAGTGGGGGTATTGTTCAGCACAAAAAACTCACCAGCAGTTTATATATTATATATCTATATTATATATCTATAGCTATAGGTATATTCCTCGAGCGAAAATAGTATGATACTCTTTTCGGTCTTCATAATCAATATACAGGGCAGCAAAGTTTGGATTTCATAACTGACAAAATAGGAGGGGGGTATATTATAGAGTATACTCATATTTACTAATATGTAGAAGCCCATACTTTTCTCTCAGTGGGGAGTGTAGTGATTAGAGGGTTAGAAAACACTAAATCATCTCCACAACGTTTGATGTGTCCATCATCAGACTTTAATCCTTACAAACCAAAGGTCCTATTGTCGCAACTCAGATGGTTCTAGTAAGTTATATGGCATTATTGAGAAGAAACTGCGCCTCCACCACGTGTCGCAACTCAGATGTTGACCCTCCCATAGGTCTTAGCTACTCACTTGGCTTTTTTGACGAGAGGTTTTGATCATTTCACCACCCAACCCATATTCATCCCCAAATAAAGAGAATTGTTTCTCAAAAGTACAACGAGCAATTTATTCAATCATCAAAACATGAAAATGTGCCAAAAGGGCGGTGTAGAATTCCCTTTTGAAATAATTATTAACGAATCAAAAAATGCGAACAATCAAATTCGAGTGCAGTGAAACAGTAATAATAGCCGTACCTTGATATAAGGACTGTTAACTGCTATATGATCTTCTTAGCTGCTTGGAAGGGTAGGCCTACCAGATCCACCACATACTGAGTAATGTTCTAGGCCTCTAGGGGATGCAATCTTGTTAAAATCGATTGCCGAAACATGCACAATTTTACCGAAACCAGCGAATAATTATAACATATAGCGGACCGATCGTTTAAAAATCGAATCGAACGAAGTTGGAAGAATGATTTGTCTCTCGCCGTATCGGCAGTTTCTCGAATTCCTGCTTCACTGCGCAAAATACGCGAACAGTAAAAAATAATAGAAAAAGTGTATGTCAAAGAAATACATTTGTTTCTGCATTCGAAGAACAAGAACAAATAACATTTATACAGACTGTCCCAAAATAACATTTGTACAGATTGTCCCAAAATAAAGTATAATTATATGATAATTATAATATCCCAATTCCCAATTTCAAAATGAATAAACTAATTAATAATATTGATGCGCAACAGGCGGAACAGCAAAGAACAAACATGAAACGAACAAACAACAGAAACAAGATGATGGTTCTTTTATTGGTACTTACCTTATGTTATGGGCAGCAGCACCAAAGTCGAGGACATGTCACACCCCCAAAGTGGCATAATGCCACTTTGGAAATCAGCAATCAATGAATGAGTGTTATGTACGATTGAACTGATAATGCCTTGTGTTGATAATGAATTATTGCCTTATCGACTCGGGTAGGTAGGTAGGTATAGGTTCGCAATTTTCCGCAATGGGAACGGTCTTTACCTTTCGATACTGCTTTCCTTGGTATTATCGCGAGTTAGGGGTTTCTTTGCAAATTATAAAGGAAATGACGTCTATGAACTCCGCTGACCTGATCGAAACTACAATGTACTGAATGTTTCAATTTGGAAAAGTCAATTAATGATAAAAGACTAAATGAACGAGAGTTTTGAGTGATGTTAATTCATATAGGCATTTGTACTTCTCGACACTATAATATGATCAATATACCACAGAGGGCATCAAAGTTTTGAATTCATAACTGTGGAGTGTAGTCTACAATACCAACTTCAGTGAATTGTGATAATCAATAATGTTATATTATTTTTTGCCTTTCTTATAATTTGGGAAAAATCATGTATAGATAATTAGATATGTATATTTTGATCCTCGATTACAAGGGTGATAGTAGACGACGAAGCGAATTATCAATAATGAATGATTATCACAAATGATCGAAGATGTCACTGAAGACGTATATACACTTCACAGGAGGTGGGGGGGATGGGGTCAGTTTTGACGCACATATTAGGGACACAAAACAAAAAATGTCATGATTGAAGTCATAAAAGTATATTAATTTTGTTCAAGAGTAGTTTGCGGTAAACAGATTGACCTGCTCCTTTACATGGACACTCTGTATAATCTGATGAAGTTGAATCATAACAGTTGAGTCAGAAAAAAGGTATGTAAACGTAAACCAAAGGTGCAGATTAAGTCTGTTAGAGGTATATTCCATCTGTTTCCATTCTATATTATTGTTATATAATGTCGTTAGTTTTTCAATTACCTGTTATATAAGTTTATCTTGAAATTCTAATGAAATTTGACTAATGATATCGCTTTTCCGCAGACGTTATAAACAAAGTATTTTCGCTACAATCGATGAGAATCATCCTAATTGACTTTTAATTTATATCCCATTAATATTCCGCTGAATGAAAACAGTTTTCTTCAAATTGATCTTGAATTCAGATTTCAGGAGTGTAGGTAATTGTAGAAAATGTGAAATTCATTTCGACAAGGGAATCTTTGATTCTGTAAATTATGGTAACATTTCGAGGCATGATATAATATCCAACGGACTGAACCCAAGAGACAACCTGACTAAACCTAACCAACCTAAACTATCCAAACCACATTTCATTATCTCATAATTGGTAGGGTAGGTACCCATCCAGGAAATCATTCTCGTATAACAAAATGAGTTCATCTGTTCAATTCCATATAGTATTTTTGTTGCACCTTGTATAAATATCTTCTGAAATATCTGTTCATTTCAGTACAAGCTACATTTCTAATGCAAATTCGCTGACTTCTACTCCCTAATTTTTCAAAAAATCTCCAAAATGAATCATCGTGCAATATAGTTATTTATTATACAAGGGAAAAAAGTAGTAGATTTTAGCTCCAGGTTGTGTTGTCTCCCGACGCGTAGCGGAGGGAGACAAAAAACCGTGAGCTAAAATCTAATATTTTTCCCGTGTATAATACACTATTTTTTTCTGTGACAGAAGGAAGGACGAATCAATATTGAGAAGATATTACATTATTTCGAAATCTGAAAATTATCGACGTGAAATTTCAAGTTTTTAGTAGTAGGGACACCTGCGTTTTATAGGCATCTTTATCATTCTTTTGAAGTAATCAAATATCTGATGTCACTTCTGTCAGTTCAATTCTGTGATTTGATTTTGAAAAATTGCGAATTCAGTAGTTGTTTGGTAATATAAGAAACCGCGAAGTCGAAGGGAAGATAAAAGGATTTGCAGTTCTTTCTCGGAGACGGTATTATTGACTCATTTTTCAGAACTATAGCACAACAAAAGCCATTAACAGAGTATATATATGTGATATATATCCGGGAAAAAAGTACTCACTTTTTTCCCACGGGAAAAAAGTAATTTATGAAAAGTGACATTTTATAACCTGCCAACAGAGATGAAATGCCAACTTTTTTCCCGTCACAGAAAAAAAAATCATTTCTCCACAATGCGGATTGAGATTTGAAAAGTTTCAGAAACATTTCGAGACCAGACAACAAACTTCATGCTTGTGGTATGAAACATCAAAATTTCATCTATGGAAATGAGAAACCCATATATATGTTTCATCTGAAGAGATATAATATGCTTTTCATCATCGATCGAATATCACAATAATTTCCATATTATTTTGTATATGTACTTAAATTCGAGTTTCCATATCTGGACACACTCCACGTTATCAAGAACCATTGTCTGCTGAATATGGAGAAAAAGAACTATCCACACAATGTGAATTTTTCAAAATACAATACGAATAACATAATATTCAATGTTATTCAATTATTATTTGTTGATGAAATGTATAATTTCGAAGAAAAATATATAGGCATCTCGGACATAAAGGGCCTGATTGAAAAAAATCGAAATTGTTTCAAGAAAAAACATCAAGCTTCTTGATTATGATCGAAAAAAAATTATGCGAAATATTTGCTCAAACGGGAACGTAACGACACCATTGCTTTTCTACCCTTCTTCAATTATCCTAAGTGCCTAAATCGTTCGAACCATTCCCATCACGTGAGCTTCGTGAGTGAAGGCAAAGAATAGTAGGTTAGTCACCGTGAAGGCTCAGTTTTATCAGGGAGTTTTATTCTGGTCCACTAATAGCATGGCTTCAGCCTATAGTGATAAAGGCTTCCAAGAATGTTTTTCTACGAGCCAATGTGCATGCGTCCCTAAGGTATCACGTGATGCACTGTGACCAATCTGACAATGAGGTTTGGTTCGAAAACTAGGCTGTCGTCGTGAAAAGTCCTCAGAGAACCGCGCTGTAGCGTTTCCCCACCGCGATGATTACTATTTTCCTCCTGTATGTAGTCGCAAGTTTTCACGCCTTGAAGAAAAATAAGAAGTACTAGAAGAAGAAGATGGTGCGACATAAGGTTATGTATATGTGTACTTGTTGTGTTTAGAAGAAGAAAAATAAGAAGAAGAAGAAGAAGAAGTTGTGGTTATGGTTATATTATTTTTTTTCGTATTTTTTCTGTGAAGTACACACGAATTGGGGGCACACTGGGCACAGTAATAAGAGTAACGGGCGAGATTCACGAGATTGTGATGTGGATGTGAATGGCTGAGCGTATGCAGTGTTTCAAGAGCGTTGGAAATAAATCATTTTAATAAGATAAGCACGTCATAATTCCTAAGTGAAAAACCATTTGAGAACATGAAAGCTTCAGTTTTATTTCCTCAATGGAAGATGCAATAATATATTTTGAAGTTCTGAAATATCATAAATTTCCATTCTGAATTGTTGATATATTATGATATAATATTGGAAGTTATTTTATGCCAAAAATGGAATACCCAATAGGCCAAATTCCACAGTTTGCTACCATATTGATGGAAATATTTCCTAATACTGCTGCCCATATTATCACTGATGTGATAAATATGGTGGAAGAACAAAATCCAAATGATTGCTTTGAAGGAAAAATTGAAAACATGATAAATCTTTTGTCAGGTAAGAGGATGATTTTCATTTTTTAAGGAAATTATATGCAGGGGCAAAGTGATCCAGGTATAAAAAGGGATTATCATCATCTGTAGTTGAATCTATAAACCCAGGAAAATGTTCATTCCACAATGAAGATGATGTGAATGATCTATAAATGAAATCAGGTGAAACAGAACTGGAAAGCAGCATTTTGGGATTGTGTGGACACAGAGCAGATTACTTACTTCATGAAAAAATCACTCATTACATATTAACATTATGATTATGATGAATGTCTTGCTTTTCTAGTATTGATAGTCCCATGCACTAGAACTGAAGTCCAGGTTGCTCACATTTATGAATTTTACTGGGTGTGTATAATTTGCAGACTCGAATAGAATGCTGTGGACTGACTACTTCCAGCAAACAAATAATTGTTTTAGTTGCATATCTGGATTGAGCTCATCAAACTACATGGTAAAAAGTTTATAAAATTTTTCCCTAGCTTCTGGGGAGCACTTTACTCAACTTTACTGGTGAGTTTTTCCATGAAATCTTGTGAACTGGGTATTTTTGCTAGTCCAATCACCTCAATTTTCTCAAAAATCAATAAAATATGCAGTCTGCAAGATTTTATGAAAAAACACAGGAGTAAAGTGCTCACCAGGGGTACCAGGGTGGATAAAAATATTTTAAAAACTTCATTCTGTATTTTCATGAGATGAATCGATTTTGGAGAAACTTGATATGATTGGACTTACTTATACAAAAATACCCAGTTTGCAAGATTTTATGAAAAACACACAAGTAAAGTGTTTTCTAGGGGGGCTTTTGGTAAAAAGTTCAGAAATGTTTCATGGTGTATTTCCATGAGATGAATTGACTTTTGAGGAAATTGAGATGATTTGACTTGCAAAAATACTCAGTCCACAAGATTTTATGAAAAAACACACCAGTGAAGTGCTCCCCAAGGGGGCTAGGGAAACATTTCAAAAACTTTTCATCATTTAGTTCCATGAGCTGAATCCTGATATGCAATGAAAACAATGATTTGTTTGCTGGAAATTGCCAGTCCCCATTTCATGATGAATATATCTGCTGATATTATGTCACCACAAAAACTCAAATAAATGGTTACAATTTTTGTATTTTGATGAGAGTACCGTTTTTATGTAATGGAAAAATGTTGTTATCAAGAAATTATGACCCACCCTCTGAAAACACACTCTATAACAATCGAGATAACAATATCAGAAATATAGGAGTGTAACAGAAAAATGTATTTTATCAACATACATTTTTGCAGGAAAATTCAATCTGGTGGCTTTCACCGTTTAGAAGTTATGGGGGAATATTATTTCAATGTTATCAACTTTGGGAGGATAGATCTCCTTCAATATATATTTTGGGCCACCAGTTTATTCATCAAACTATACATATTTTTCAATATACTATATCTCTTCCAGTAAGCTCGGTACACATTTTTTACTCAACCTGTATACAGGGTGGCATTGAAGTAAGTGCAAATATTCCAAACACTGAGAAAGCTCGACGTGTACTATGGCACAAATAAAAAAAAATAGGGATCAAAATAAAATTTGGCGTTAGACCCTTTTTCCCACCCAAAGTTCTACACTGTAGCAAATCTGATGTAAACTCTGTTTAATTTCCGTGCGAGAGGCACAATCACGTGGACTTCAATCATTTAAAGTGGAGTACTTGATTTTTTTCTCGTATTTTGTTCAATTTTTGGGTTGAAATTTCTCGATAATTAGAAGAATTAGAAAAAATCTGATATCATTGGAATATTCCTTACACTGTATCATATTGATGTGCTGAATATGTGCACTTATTTCAAATACACCTTGTATAAAGGAATACATTGATTCGCATTCTCCATGTGATGAAAATATTAATCATTCATTTTTTGTCCACCAAAACGCGCCACTGAATTGTGAGATCAGGGTTGGTAGAACTGATGAATATACTTCTCATTCTCCTGTCATTTGGCATCTTCTTAATATTCTTCTCCGTCAATGTGAGAATTGGTCGTACAGTTCCACATTGAGAGTAAAAAACAATGATGGATATCTTATATCCATCATTTAAAAAACATAAGCCATCTCAAGTCTTTCGATAGGTTGAGGCTTTCTAACATTATTTTTTTCCGAATATTTTCGGTGAGAGTGAAACTGACTGCCCTCATTAAACAGAAAACAACTGCTGTTGAATATACCCAGAAAGAATTAATATTTTCATCTCATGGAGAATGCATTTCTTTATATATATCCATTTTCCTTCATGTTCATGATATATCTGAGAATATTCCTTTTCAATACTTCCATATCCTATCAAGGGGTTCTGAACGATGGAAACTTGCTATTTTTTATAGAACTCTAATCGCAGATTCGTGATAGGGCTTTCTCAATTCAGAATTTCTTTCCACGCCCTGTATGATGAAAATAAACAATATTTAGGTGTACTCTAAAACACCACAACTACCACACCAACCTGAACACAAAACAAATGACAATGGTTTGAATATATAACACTTGATAACAGATAAGAATAAGCCTAGTGTTATTAAAGTTCTCTTCCAAATCCTGAAGCATTCTCTACTAACAGACATAATGCAAAAGTGAAGTTTTTTACATAGAAATAGTAGCTGAGCATATAGATATAGCAATAATTCATGCCTGGGTTTAACAAATGGCAATAATGCTGTGTTTAGTTAGTTAGTTTATTTACATATATCTCATATATTATTAGACCGTTCACAATTGGATTGAGAATCCAATTCTCTCTGTATTTATCCATATAGTAGTGGATATAATATTTTTTGAATTGACTCGGCCGTTATTTGATGGAAATCCATGGCAAATGTAAAAACGCCACAAACGATAAGATTTCCACAAAATTCTCAAACACATGACATGTTTCGCTAACACATCAGTAGCTTCGTCAGGTGATATACTGGTACAATCACAATGACCTCTTGAGTTGATTGTACTCAAGAGTTCATTGTACCAGTATATCACCTGACGAAGCTACTGTGTTAGCGAAACATGTCGTGTGTTTGAGAATTTTATGAAAATCTTATCGTTGGTGAAGATAAAATATTTAACTGAGATTGTTTTGTTTATGATTTTTCCAGAGCTAAGAGGAATATTGAAATAATTTTGTCGTTCGATAGTTACGTTTCAAGTTGAATTATACATCTTCATGTTTCAATTGTTGGATAGTTGAGATGAAGAAAACCTTTCAGGGGATGGTGCCCAGGGTCCTATACCTGTCATAGTAAATCCTGTTGATATTCCGTCATCTCGGACTGATCAATTACTTACAAACTTGTGCAACTTATTCCCGGATGCTTCTGAATCCTTTCTCCGTACCTTTTGCGAGAATAAACCTGTTGGATATACCTTAGATGATGCTGTGGAAGACATCTTCGAGAGTGAGTACATCAAACACAAATTAACGAAACTTTTAAATAATAATACGTAATTTCCACATGGAATAGCTGATTCAACTATATATGAAATATCTACAGTATATCCAAATGATAATAAATTTTTTAGTTCAAGAGTTCCCAAATCCATCATAATAGTCTTTGTGAGGTAGTGAACATGTTTCATGTGTTCTGTATATTTATACAGGGTATGTTACAACGAGCTCACACTATCTCTATATCGAGAATCAGTCGGGAGAAATCCATGAGGATATGCATGCTTATATTTTAGAATACGCTCTTTTCATTTAAAATATTTTCAGCAATGCAGTGTTGGCGCTTCTATCAAAAAGTAGCAACAACTTTGTTATTTCAAAAAGAATATCCTGTATTTTATTGCATTTTAAATTCTCCCTGAAGAGCTGATTTTATCAATACATCACACTCTCGGCGTCTATCGGGAATGATTATAGAGATATAAGGTGATCAAAATCGTTTGTGTCGAAAGTAGGGCTGGGCGATATTGGGTTTCACATATCGATTATCGATAAGTCAAAACAGATCGATATATATCGATAAGTATCGATAAATACTGTAAATATCGATATATCGATAGATCGATAACTATCGAAATATCGATATATTGATAACTATCGAAATATTAATATATTGATAACTATCGATTTATTGACATATCGATATATTGAAATATTGGTATAATGATAACCATCGATATAAAGTTATCGATATATATCGATAGCTATCAATTTCGTCTCAACATATCGGTAAAAATAAACTCATTCCAATTGTCGGACTCTTAGAAGCTTTCATGATATCCAGACAAAAGTTATAATGCCGTACAGCAACACAATTTCGTGAACAATAAAACGAGATAACTATCTCGAATATTCATCGTGATTATGTTGATGAAAAAATGATACTTATCGATATATCGATAACTTACTAATCCTTATATATCCATGGTTATCAATATACCAATATTTCGATAGGTATATCGATAGTTATCGACATATGGATATATCCATATTTCGATATATCAATAGTTATCGATTTTTCGATAGTTATCGATATATCGATGGTTATCGATAGTTATCGATAGTTATCGATATATCGATAATTATTGATATATCGATATATTTAAAATTATATATTGTTATTCGATATATCGATTTTTTTCTCAGGCCTAGTCGAAACTATTCATTATCAGCCAAAACGTCTCACATGTCCCTATCTCAACTTTTGATTTACTATTTACTGACATTTTATCGGAGCAGATACAAAGTGATCAGAATTCTGAATCTTGAACCACACTGTATCAGTTCCGATTAAATATCAGTAAATAGTGAATCGAAAGTTTAGATAGGGACATGTGAGCCGTTTAAACCGATAATGAATAGTTAAGACACAAAAAATCCTAAAGTTGAAAAATCTCGATTTTGTTCACCCTATATCTCTGAAATCATATTCGATAGACCCCAAGTGTGATGTAACGATAAAATCAGTTCTCCAGGGAGAATCTGAAAATGCAATAAAATACAGAGGGTGTTCGAAATATCAATGTAGCTACTACTTTCTAGTAGAAGCGGCAACACTGCATTGTCGAAAATATTTTAAAAGAAGAGAGAGTATTATAAAATATGAGCATGCACATTTTCATGGATTTCTCCCGACTGATTCTAGTTATAAAGATATACCCTGTATATTCATGTTATAATTTGTCACAGTTGTTTACGAACAGTTGATATTTTCTGAATGTATAATTTTATAAATGGTTTGGCATATGCCTCATCTTTTAATCCTCTGTTTTTATCAAAAGTGTTTCAACTAAAATGCATTTGAAAATTTAGCGAAGTGATAATTATTAGGTTCAATGAAAATGAAAGACTATGTGATTTTGTATTATTTTTACCTCGCATATTTTGCTGATGTATTTACTGATTTTACGAGTCGGTCTCTTTATGTTGACTTTCCATGGTTTAAGTTCATTTTCATTTGTTGGCAAGCTGACAAAATCAAATCTCCCATCCAACTGATTGATACAGCTTAACCATGCTCAAGGCAGCACATGTTGCCATTTTTCTGGACCGAATTGAACAATATCGTATTAAGTAGTAATAAAATTTTGTAAGATTTCTTGTAGCGCCTATGAATGTGATGTGACAGCAATGTCGGGGATGCCAGTAGACAAAACTATCACTAAATCATTAAAAATGAAAGGAGCTATCATCTGTCCATACCCTGTTGAGATGACAAATACGTCAATTCACATCAAGGGACCCTAATTCAGAGAAGTTGACAAAAACCAGCTAGGGCTGTAACTTCTGAATCATTCACATTGAATTGCTTCGCAATATCGAAACTTCTTTCTCTGTCACACTCATTCAGCATATGAAAACGGAAAGTGAATATCTTCGTAATCGTTTGAAATAACCCTATCGAACCCGGTATCGTTGAATTCGGCATGATAATCTCTACAATTCAAAAATCAATATTTAGGGTAGTTTCCGGTGAAACGATCTTTGTTTTGTCAATGAATGATCAATTTGGTATAAATTCCTACCCACCAATTTTCAACTTCCGATTTCGAATGATTCATAAGTTACAGCACTTGTCATTTTTTGTGCACTTCTCTGTGATTGGTTATATTACTCAATAGATAGCTATCTCAGTTAATATCGGTCTTAAAGTAGGGTTCAAATGGGCAAAAGTTCGGCATTTTTTATGGACATCCAAGATCTAGTACTAGAAAATACAAAAAAAAAATTGCACGAACTGTTATTTTTCATAAGGAACACTCTGTATTTTATTCTTCTAGACGGTAGAGCTCTTGCTTCTGATTTCCAATATATATATACTTTATTGGGGTCATCTTCTGTCAGTTTTTGAAAAATATAGATTTTTTGATATACAGTGTGTCCCACTTACCATGCTCACCATGGGTATCTATTTAACGGTGAGAGATACGAGGTCGGTTAAATGACACCAAATGTGGAGTTTGTCAAGGCCAACTATAATGTGAAAAAATATTTTGATAAAATCTATTCGTTTTTGTTTAATACGCAAAAAACAGATTTTGATCATTTTCATGTCTCCTCCGTAACTTCTTTATTTATGAAAATATTCAAATAGGAATTTCACATTCACATGGCAGTTTTTCGAAGTGATTTCGAAAAAAATTTGAAATTTATACCAAGTCTTCTAGACTTTGAGATATCAGCACCAACTTTAGTTTTTCAAATGTAGGTCATAACTCACTATGACTTAGTTACAAATAACTTTTTTTTTCTCTTACTGATGATATGTCGCAGTAATAGTTTTGTGTTGATAACAACGGAGTTATCGTCATTTATACAAAAACAAAAAAATATTTGGAAGCTGCCATCTTGAATTTATAAATTTTAACAAAAAAAATCATGATCATCTCGGGGCAGCCTTTCTTTTAAATTCCAACAAAAATTCCATAACTCCGATTAACTTGAAATTTGGCAGATGTTCATAATTTCGGTGACAATACATTATGGAATTTTTGTTGAAATTAAAGAAAATGGCTGCTCCAAGATGGCGGACAAGATTTGGTCCGATTCCATTCAAAATTGGTGAGTGGGGGTTTCTGGGTTCGGAGATCATTATTTTTTTGTTAAGATTTATAAATTCAAGGTGGCGGCTTCCAAATAATTTTTTGTTTTTGTATAAATGACGATAACTCCGTTGTTATCAACACAAAACTATTACTGCGACATATCATCTGAAAGAGAAAAAAAAGTTATTTGTAACTAAGTCATAGTGAGTTATGACCTACATTTGAAAAACTGAAGTTGGTGCTGATATCTCAAATTCTAGAAGAGTTGGTATAAATTTCATATTTTTTTCGAAATCACTTCGAAAAATTGCCATGAGAATGGTAAATTCCTATTTGAATATTTTCATAAATAAAGAAGTTACGGAGGAGACATGAAAATGATCATAATCTGTTTTTTGCGTATAAAACAAAAACGAATAGATTTTATCAAAATATTTTTTCACATTATAGTTGACCTTGACAAACTCCACATTTGGTGTCATTTAACCGACCTCGTATCTCTCACCGTTAAAAAGATACCCATGGTGAGCATGGTAAGTGGGACACACTGTAGATCTAAAGCAGGACTTGAACGCCAGACGACAATGCTGCGTTTCCTGGCGTTTTACAGCTGCCTTAGAATCCATATTTTTATAAAATTGACAAAGCTAATCTCTTTTTTTTTTCCTCTTCTTCTAAATTCGAAAAATCAGGAATATACAAACTCAACTGTGGCTGTTGTCCTAAGGTATATATCGGTCAGACAGATGAATTAAAAACAATAGACCATATATTAGAAGAAAACCATAGTTTGAATGATAATTTCGAAATTCTACACGTAGAAAATAAAGGAATAAAACTCGATCATTTTGAATCATTAGAAATCAACAAACTAAAAAATTAACATTTTACTTGACGATCAACTAGACCTCAATAGTTGAACTGTTGAATTTGTTTTCCTAGTAGGTAATAATGTGTATTTGCTATCAACCCATTTAAGTTAATCCGGTAGACCGTTTTTAAATGTAGATATTGTGCCTATTTTCCGAAAATGAAGGTTTATCGAACCTTTCCACAGGTAATTCTAATCCTTCTGGTTGGGAAAGTAGGATATATGAGAGATAGGCAAGCCAAGGTAAGTTTATTTCATTGTACCACTATTTCACCTGATGACGCTACTGTGTTAGCGCAACATGTCATGTGATTAAGAATTTTTGTGGAAATCTTATCGTTAGTTTTCACAAAGATAAGGTCAATAAAGTATATATATATATTTGAAATCCGAAGAAAGAGCTCTACCGTTTAGAGAAATATAATACAGGGTGTTCCATTCTAAAAATACCAGATCATTTAATAGTTATTTATGTAATAAGGATCATAAAGACGATCATTATGGTACAAGTCGTGAATGTTATCGGGCGAGGCGTAGCCGAGTCCGATAACACGGCGTGTGCCATAATGATTGTTTATGATTCGTATTACATACAAAATTTTATCTGATGGCATCTATATCAATACATTTTCGAAAAATTAAAAACTGCATTTTCGACATGTCACAATGACAACTATTTTTAAAGGAGTAAGTATTGTGTAGTTTCAAATATTAGTAGGTGAGTGAGCTGTGCTTTGCCATTATATTAATATTACAAATTGTAGTAATTGTTCTTTTACCATTTATAATAAATAGTTTTGTACATAGTTATGCATTTTGAATAAACTTTTTTGATCAAACCATTACATGTTTTCCTTATAGAATTTCATTATGGTACTTAGTCCCATAATGAGCTTCCTTATGTCATCAAAATTGAGTGACATAACGTTGTCATTATGACATGCCATCAGATAAACTTTTTAAGATAACGATGCTCTTTTGCACTTACTAGTACTAGATCCGGAATGCCCATAAAAATACTTCACTTTTGTCAATTTGAACGTTTTTGTAGGACTAATATTAACGGTAAAATATAAACAATCACCCTGAACATACCGGGTGGCTACGGAAGTATTGCCTCCGAAATATCTCAGTTATTGTATGAAGTAGGTTTGTGAAATTTAGAGCGTCGATATAATGACATAAGAGCTAGAATTTGAGCATATTGACATGTCGAAGTTAACTTCCGGTCTGACCGGAAGTAACATCAACTTTCTTATTTTAAATGGAAACCCTATTTTTTTTTCTTTTCGCTTTATTCAGCATTCAATTCCCATTCTTATGACATATCAAAGGTTGGTATCTAACCAGAAACTAGATCAGAAAAAAATTATTATTGAAATTCACCGATTAGGCCGTGGAAGCAAAATGAAAGCCAAAAATTGAAAAGTTGGCTATGGAAACCATACGTCACTCGATAACAGTTGCTACTACTGTGATATTTTATTTTCATTCGTCGGCGTTATAAAAAGCCGCCAAAAAAAATATTGGAAAAATTGGGAAAAAACAATACTCTGTAGTTCCATAACTTAAATAGGAACATACAACTTTTTCACAGTAGTAGCAACTGTTATCAAGTGACGTATGGTTTCCATAGCCAACTTTTCAATTTTTGGCTTTCATTTTGCTTCCACGGCCTACTCGGTGAATTTCAATAATAATTTTTTTCTCATCGAGTTTCTGGTTAGATACCAACTTGTGATATGTCATTAGAAAGGGAATTGAATGCTGAAAAAAGCGAAAAAAAAAAAATAGGGTTTCCATTTAAAATAAGAAAGTTGATGTTACTTCCGGTCAGACCGGAAGTTAACTTCGACATGTCAATATGCTCAAATTCTAGCTCTTATGTCATTATATCTACGCTCCAAATTTCACAAACCTACTTCATACAATAACTGAGATATTCCGTAGGCAATACTTCCGTAGCCACCCGGTATACAGGGTGTTTCTTGAAGACATGCTAATGTTTGAGGGGGTGATTCTCTGACACATTTTAAGAAAAAAACTTCATATGAACGTATGTCCTAAAAGTCTTAACTTTCGAGAAACAGGGTGATGAAGTTTTGAAAAATATTCAGTTTTTCGATGATAACTAAGACAATATTGTACAAACCTTTTCATTTTCTCTACCAGTGGCACCGTTACGGGAAAATTATTGTTTATATTTTACTTAAAAGTGAGCAATGACGGAACATTTTCAAATTTCATACAATGTTATAAAAGGATTTTTAATTATGTACAAAAAAGAACCTCTTGTTTATACTCGATAGAACGCTTCGTTTTCGAGAAAAATCGGAAAAACGAGACCAGACTTCAAATTTTGATGTTTGAGTCCATCATTCAGGACATCCATTACTGGATAACCACCGTATGTAACATTTCGAAATTTTTAAACCGATTCAGTCACATAGCAGACTGAATTTTGCCATCACGAAAAGCTATACAGGGTGGACAAAAAAATAATCTATGCATAATTTCAACATATCTCAAAAGTTAGGACGTTCACGGCATATTATGTTTATATGAAGTTTTTTTGAAATGAGTCGAAGAATCGGCCCCTTAAATATTAGCATATCATTAAGGAACACCCTGTAGTATCAGTGCATACTTCTTTATATTGATAGAGGGTTATGATCGACGTGAGGTAGACCCCGTTACAATATGGGAACAACTGAAAATTGCTCTACCCAACGCGGATCCTGCCTACTTGAGAAGGGAGGCAGACAGATTAGCGCCACTACCGAAACAAGACCTGGATGATTTTGTTCAAACTGCCATCGAGAAGAATGATTATCCTACCATGCAGGATTACTTAAAGTATAGTATTTTATGTCTTTAAACTATTTCTTAAATCAGTTCGGTGAAATGAAATGTAAATTAAAAAAAATACAGATTCCTAATAATATTGAAACTCCTTATCTTTTTCTCAGAACGAAAAAAGAAAGAGACAAAATTGCAATGTACAGTGAAACCTTCAATATGGAAAAATTTTTGGACACCATTCCAGACCCTGTAACATTTTATTCAGACCCAAAAAGGAAACTGTCTCTGGACGAAAATTCTGACGAAAACGACGAAAAATTCGCATTGGATTTCCTTTTCAACAAGTACAGATTTATAAGGAAATTGTACATTGAGCGGACATTCAAATGGAGCAAGAAAAATTTGGTGGCCACTTGTGATAGATTGGATAAATTGGATAGAAGTATGAGAAAAGGCAGACTCCTATTAGAACCTACCAAAGATACAAAAAATGTCTCCTTATTGCAGGTGGTAAGTAAATGCTCCTAGATGACTTACAGCATTCAATAATCAATACTCACTTAGTGCTCAAGGCTATATTCAAAGTTGTCCAATGATTATTTCATATTCTCTTTATATTTTTCTATTTATGCAGCTTCTGTTGTATTGACTTTTTTAATACTTTTACATTTTTCAGCTATTTCAGATTTTTTATTGATATTTTGTACCACGTCAAACCTCCCCTCTATATCTCAGCTGTTAGTCGTGCGATTCTTACCAAATTTGGACCGGTATGAATAACTATCGATATGATCGGTTTTTCAGAGACGAACATCATTTTGGTCAGTGCCGTGCGGTTTCATTCAAATGAAAAGTGGTCAATTTTTTATGAAATCATATTAGCAATTTTTTTCAGGAAGACTGACCTCAAATGCTCTTATATCACAATAAAGTTGTATTTCATAATTCGATAGAACTCACCCAGACTAGCTCACTGCCGCAAACCGTTTCTTGCTGTGAGCTCCCTACGTTATATAAAAAATTATTGAAATCCCCGATTTTTCGGACCTCTGAAAACGAGGCGATGATGTGACGTCAAAACCCTAATACTGAAACAAGACTATTCCAGACAGAGATGAATGGTACATGGTTTCTGACAGAGTGAATTAGCGCGAGATCACAGTTGAAAGAATTAATATATCAGTTGCCTCAGTCTCCGTCGGGCGTTTGCTCGAATTATGTCGTCAATCATTATTTATGTATAAAAGGATCATTATAAACATGGTTTGAGTTAAAAGTTCTACTAAGGTGTACACGCCCATTATTGTTCTTCTATTCCCCCTATGTAAATTTTCATATGGTTTCCATGTAGGTTTTCAAAAAAATAGGCATATTTAAACAGCATGTATGCTAACGTAAATAATTATGTACTGGGATACGGTGAGTTCAACAAAAAAAATATATCTTGTTTTTTCTTTCGAACCATAATATTCTACCTACCGGAGGGAGCTATTCAACGTGCAAAAATCTGCATTTAATTTGAATTCACTATATTTTTGATGCAGAAAATGAAGTTTATCCTGTTAATTCAGAATTAGGGCTTTTTGTCTATGGCTGTTTGAAAGCATGGAGAACAATGATATAAAGTAATTTTTCCTGCAAAAAATATTTTATTTCAATAAAAACGCATGGCACTGTCTGAAATGATGATCGTCTCTGAAAAACTAATCATACAGGTCCAAATTCAGTATGAATCACATTACTTATAGCAGAGGTAAAGAGGGCGAGGGGGCGTCTAAAATGAGTCACGCTGTACATACATATACTTGTTTTTCAAATAGGTAATTATTCAGTAAACAATAGGACATATTATAAATTTCAATAATGAATATTTCCTTCAATTACTGACCTGCAATTTATTTCCTTATTTTTTAGGAAAAGTTGGTATTTTGTCTTCCTAATCACATGTTATTTCCAAATCTGATAATAAAAGAATAGAAGATTATCATTCAATTTCCAAGCAATAGGCATGTTATAACGTTTTATTGAATATCTCGAAAACTAAGAGATATAACACCCATTATAGTTATTCTACCTCATGAAAATGAACAAATTTTGTCGATTCTTTAAGTGATACCTGTTAAAACTGAAATACCCTTCATATGTCTTACCAAAACAATTATTGATTAATCCCCTTAATTTGCTAGATAACTTATATTAAATACCGCAAGCAGATCAAGAGATTTTTAAAGATGAAAGACGAATCATATCGGCTTGCCAAAGAAGAAGCGAAAAAATATAATCTTCTAGAAACTTGTCAATGTTGTTTCGATGACGAGCTGATCCCTGAAGAATGCTATTTTTGCATGAAAGATTGTGTATTCTGTAAAGACTGTGTAAAGAGAGGTGCTGAACATGTCATTGGGAAAGCAGATATCAAATTCCCTTGTTTGGCCAACTGCGAGTCGGAATTTGCTCTTCATACCATACAGGTGAGCTCTGGCCCATACAGATATTGAAAAGGTGGTTGATCGAGTAATTTCCTATATCATGATATATAATAGTTCCACCTGCTACCATACTTTCAGCCATCTTCAGCCAAATCCTACAGCACTTGTATTGATATTCCACATTTGTTTTCTGCCTCCTCATTGAAAATTTTGAATGAGAAAAATCATACATCGAAGGGAACATAACTTGCAAGAAATATAAATTAAATTTAATTGGCGATACAAAGATTTTCATCCATTACTCTAGAATTTGAAGCAGTCTAAGAGATATACTTGTCAAGAATGTCATGTTCTGTCAAACTTCCGCCAATATCGCTAATATTGTCAAGTAGAAGATCAAAATCATTCCTCATTGTTTAATAAATTTATCTTGCTAGATGGTACTTCCGGTAAAGATCTTCGCACGCCTCACCCAAAGAATTTCAAGTGAGGAAATAAAAAGAGCGAATGTGGAGGGCTTAGAGACGTGTCCGTTTTGCGACTTTGCTATGGTCCTGGAGAAAGATGATAAAATCTTCAAGTGCATCAACGAAGACTGTTTGATAGAATCTTGCAGGACTTGTCGCCATAAATCCCACATTCCGTTGAGGTGCAACGAAATTGAATATGACGAGGATGTGAGACACAGAACCTACATCGAGAATAAAATGACTGAAGCATTGACAAGGTGAGATGGGATGTTCTATTATATTTCATCTTGGAACATCACCTTCTTAATTTTGCAGGACATGTTACAAATGCCATAAAACGTTCATAAAAACAAATGGCTGTAACAAAATGACATGCGCCTGTGGTGCCAAGATGTGTTATCTGTGTGGAGCTGCTATCAATGACTATTCACATTTCAATCCTGGAGGGTAAGTACACACATCAAAGTGCTGCTCAGATTGATAGTAAAATAAAACGGTCCCTTTTTGTTACCCCTTATAAGAAATCTGCATGATACTGCTTATTACAATTACTGTTGCAATATATTTTACAATTCATTTCTTGTTCTTTAACCTATAAAATGGCGAATTAAATTGTTTCATTTTCCTTTCATCGGTTCACAGAAAATTATGCCTCTAGTAAACAGTTGAATAAGATAACATTTTTAATATCCGGAGTTGATAAAATATAATGATTATTCGATAAATGAATTATTTAAAGAAACTACAACTTTTTACAATAACAATCTTCATAGTGAATCACATGGTGCTTGAAGTAACCAGTTTGATCATAAAATATTATTCATAAAAATGACCATGCCTCTTCCTTTTCATGCTCCACATAAGATTGATGAAGGACTAATGTGAGTCCAAAACATTTGCCTTGTTATTAATATTATTGATCTACGTTGTGTGCGATCTGAAACCCCAACATTTTTATATTTAGGAACTGAAGAAAAATATTGAGTTAGAAGGCGATGAATTATTTTTTGATATTAACTCCATCTAATGTTCGAATTTATTTCATTTCCTTTCATATTTTTCTGGATTGTAATTTCACGGTCTAAGAACCTCCGCATAAATGCTACCGATTTTTTTTTTCAACTAAATGTGTACCTCTGTTATTGAAGGAGGTGAGTAAATTTTTTGCATTCTGAATTTGTATCAACACTGTTCTAAATCAAAGAATATTCAACAAATAATGTTTAGTCAGATTGGATTGGATTGCAGGATGGTCAATTCAAAGCCTGAAAATGTACTTCTTGTATTCTCTCTTACATTTCCATGCATTTAACCTGAAATGTGTAAATAAAATCATGTTGATGCTGTGAAATTTTACATCTTCAATAATGGTGATAGTAAAGTGAAAAAACCAGTGAAAGAAAAATATTGAGACATTTTCTATTGTTAATGATGCACTACATAGGCTGTTCTGCTAGTTCATGAAAAAAAAACACAGCATATGAAGAGTATTCATATGAAACTAAATGATTGATAAAAATAACTTATTGTCACGATCCTGAAGCGTCAACACGCAATCAAAAGAAACGATTGTTATTATTGAGCTTAATATTCAGAAATAATTTTCCTCAAATAACAGTCACTGGCAGAAAAAGGCTACCCTGAAATATTTTATAAAGTTCTCCTCAATATATTTTCTGTTACTGTCATTATCGAACTGAATTTGTTTGTATTATTGATTGTTTCCTTCAGCTATTCTGTATTACACCCCGTATGAAGTTGCTTTTCAACCTGTTATAGTTCTTTTCAAGATCTAAGAAACTGACCTGACCTGAGATGGGATAATGACATACAAAAGTATTAGTCGTGTCAGGATCGTATTTATTTTGTTGTTGGCTGGACACATTCTGGAATACTGTTAGTTAACGTGAGCGACGTGAGGCCTGGCATTCAGTGTTGCCAACTCAGATTTCCAAAACTCTCAAATTGGCCACCTAAAAGCCACCAAAAAAACCACAAAACCGAGTGGTATTGAAAAAAAATGCGCCGCAGGCGAAAATTTCATCATATCTAGTGATTTTCTGGTGGTTTCAACTTCAGTCCAGATCACTTGATAACACGAGATGAAAAAATCAGATCAGGTGAAAAAAGTGTTTTCTTTAACAGAAAACAAAACGAACAAAATGAATTATTCATAGCATCAATGACATACTTTAGTATATAATAATACATAAAAAAAACAAGAAGTACAAAAGCAACATTGGAGATCGTACAAAAACAGTCGAAATTGGACATAACCGTAAGAAACTGATTTCAGTTAAAACTATAGTTTTTCTATTAAATCTTTTCTCTGGTATTATACATTGTAGAAATCAAAATATCATATCAAACAAAGGACATTTCGGATATGTCCTCGACCACCAGAATTCATCATTTATTTGAAAAAATTCACCAAAATCAACACCATCCACTAGATGCCATATTTTCTCACAAAACGAGAACTCAAACCACCAGTTCTAGTGTGAAATCCACTAAGTTGGCAACACTGCTGGCATTATCTTGCATCAACAAAAAGTCTTGCTCCAAATAAGGTGCAAATGGCATTACATGTGGTTCTAAAATCTCCAATATGTACCTTTCAGCTGTTAGGCTTCTATTTACGATCTCAAGTTCTGTGCGATCAGTAAAAGAAATACCGCCCCAGACCATGAAAGATCCTCCACCGAATACTGTGTTATGTGAGAAATTACACTGAGAATACCTTTCGTTAGGGCGTCGATATACACGCATACGCCTGTCATTGTTGAACAAACAAAATCGGGACTCATCCGTGAATAAAACATGTTACCATTCAGCCTCTAACCAGTTATGATGTTCACTGGCAAAATTTAGCCTCGCTCTCCGATGATCTCTACTTAAAGCTAGACCTCAAGCAGCAATTCTAGGTCTCAAATTTTGTTCATTTAGTCGCTGACGAACAGTTTCTGTACAAACTTGTAAATCATCAGCATTTCTAATCTGAGTTTGGAGTGTCCGAGCTGTTACAAAATGTTGTCTTAATGCAGACAGTCTTAAAAATCAATCCTGAATCGAAGTTGTTATTCGAGTCCTTCCCTGTCCTGGCCTGCGACCATTATTTCCAGTCTCTCTGTGTCTTTGTATGACTCGTGAAATGGTTGTGTGACTTACTTGAAATCGTTCACCAATTCTTCGGTAAGTCCAACCTTCCTCAAACAATATTTATGTTTGTTTGTGTTTCCATATTCGTCGATAAAACAATTCGCAGAACAAGACCTAACACTGACAATATGCATCTGTATTTGACAATTACTGGTTTTCCATATTTTTCCATAGCCTGCTACAGATAAGCTCGTAATGCTAGTTGAATCCAATAAAATCATGTTATGCTTTGACTTGGTGTTTCTGGAGTGATAAGAAAGATAATGGAGTTGATACAAAAAAGAAATGTTGAAAAAAGATGACACTAAAGTGTAATTACAATTCTAACTTGATAATGTAAATGTTAAACACTACAGGGTATTACAAATTTTATGAAAAAAACACGCTACAATTGCTACACCCGGTATTTATAGAAAATAGGTTTTTATACGAATACAAATTGCACACCATTGTTCAGAAGGAGATAACCTGTCATTCAAAACCAAAAACGTCCAAATCGGACAAGTAGTAGTGTTACACACTACAGGGTATTACAAACTTATGAAAAAAACACGCTACAATTGCTACACCCGGTATTTATAGAAAATAGGTTTCTATACGAATACAAATTGCACACCATTGTTCAGAAGGAGATAACCTGTCATTCAAAACCAAAAACGTCCAAATCGGACAAGTAGTTTTGATAAAAATCTATCTCAAACTTCTGGGTATTTTTTGGTGGTGCGTTAATTTTTGGGAGAAGTGTATAATCTTCATTTCGTCACATTCTGAAATACTGTGAGTTATTAGGTTATGCAGAGATAGTGTGTTTTCATCAGGTGCACTATACCTGCACGGTAAATCCGAAAAGTTGAGCCATCTGAGGTCAGGTCAGTTTCTTAGATCTTCAATAGAACTATACCAATCTAGTTGAATAACGAATTTTCAAGGGTGTCTGGTTTTTTGCTGGCGAATTCATTTAGTAATTGCAGTAATATTGCTGGTTGTGCTATCATGTAGATTATTTTCTGCTTGTATTGGTATTATCATCATTAAATTCATAATTTTTTGTATATCTCAGGTGCGCTCTCCATACCAATGACGTTGAAGTCAATCTTCAGAGGATTCTTCAGAGTGCGGAACAAGCCAAACAAGAGCTTGGCAATGTAGAAATAAAAAAAGATCCTTCTGTTGGTATTCGTGAGTATTATCTGGGCACTCCTAGTGAAGGCTGACCGGATTTGTTTTATTATATTATTGTATTGGAACCATGTGATATGATTCGTAAGTGCCAATGTTTCGGAACATTTTGTGTATGATACAGAGAAAATACTGTTCACAAATTCAACTTTCAACTTCTAAGATAGCCGAGTGATTTTTAATGGGTTTGCAGCTTCTTTCTGGATAATTTCTTGGACGAACTTTTTGTTTACTTCCAGCTTATACCGGCTGTAACAGGATGATGGTACACCCCCTTTGTCTCCTTTAGCTTTATAGATAAATGATTGAAATTTGGAATGACCCATCAACTTGATGAACGTCATGTTCTGACGTAAATATGTTTCGTTTTCCACTACTGGTTTCACAGGAAGTAGTAATAACTTTCGATTTTCAAATGTAACACCCTGTATATCATTACATTTCCGAATTCTGCACCATTTTCTGAATCCAATGATACCAAATAGGTGACAATTCAAACTTCAATATTGATTTTAATTCCATTTTTGATTTTCCATCTGATTGTGCCATGACTATGCTGATCAAGTCTGATGTACTTATATCGACAGGTATCACGAAATTAAGTTTATCAAAATGGTTTGGTGTACCATGATCCTGTTACATCCGGTATATAGTATCCTGGCGGCTATGAGAAATTGCCGGAAATGAACAGGACAATAATACCTTATTCATAACAAAAAACTCATCTGCAGGAAAAATTGCAGTCCCCGAGATTTTTCATGAATCATCAAATTAGATAAAGCACGTTTCAATATTTCTATCAGGTCTGAGGCTGACAAATTTTTTCGACTTTATCAAACTTATTCCGTTTTTTTTTGGTTTCCCAGATATTCATATTTGTCGGTGAAAAGCTTCATACTTTATGCAACTCAATCATCTGGGTAATATGAGTGAACATTAATTGTTAATTTATGCATAACTCAACTTTCCTAACTCGAAAATGAGGAAGTATCCTTTAATGAAATTATTAATTTTTCGTAAAATTTTGGAGAAGACTGATTACTTGTTTTTTACTGCATTTGTTGGCGGTACATTTAGAAAAACTCCTCTGCCATTTGGTTGAAAATGAAAATATGATATTATTACCACTTCATATCTGATATGCAATCACATTGTTAATAATTATGGCTTTGAACAAAATGATGGACATCGCCACTTTGAAATTGAAATAAAATGTAATAATATTCATCAACAAACTTAATCAGGGTATTTTTTTTGGGTTTCTCACATATTTATATTTGTCGGTGAAAAGCTTCATATTTTGTGCATCTCAATCATCTAAACATTAATAGTTAATTTATGCACAACTTAACTTACTCCTAACTTGAAAATGGGAAAGTTCCCTATAATGAAATTATTATTTTTTCGTAAAATTTTGGAAAAGACATTGATCACTTGTGTTTTCCTAATTTTTTTGATGGTACAGTTAGACTTCAGAAAAACTCGTCTGCCATTTGGTTGACTTACACACTGAAAATACGATATTATTACCAGTCTATATCTGAAATGTAATCACATTATTAATAATTATGGCTTCGAACAAAATAGTGGACATCGCCACTTCGAAATTGAAATAAAATATCATAATATAAGATTCTCATTAATGGTATCCTAACGGATTCTGTCACTTTTTTCGAAAATGTTATAGATTATATCTGGCAACAGCGCATTATTCCTCAAGTTACACTGACACGAGTTTAATCGTGAATTCAAAGTTGATTCAGGAGTAAGTTGAGTCATGCATGAATTCACCATATTAAGATGGTAGATAACTGATCAATATGATTCAATAAATGGGGAACCTAGTGATATACATATAACAATAATTATTATATGGAATGTTATTGATATTTTATTTTATACATAGGTAGTAAGCATTGGGTTATATTATCGTTAATGATGAATAATAAATAAGCATATTTTTTTTTTCAAATCTTTTTATAATGTTTAAGTCATTGAAGAAAAATTATAAGTGTACCTGCTGTTACAAATTCGCGGCCCACTATTACAATCTAATAAGTTACAACTACTTCTGGAGATGAACCGATATCTAGTTGGCTATTTTGTTTTGATTTTTTACTGGCCCCCTGTAATGAGATGGACCAGCACAAGATTGCAGTCTCAGATTTGAAATCCGACATTTCAGCTTGAAGCCCTCATTATCAACTCAATTAAGCAAACTACCTAGCTGCTTATTTTCTAGTCAATTTGGCATCTAATTAAAAAATTAAAAGTTAACAAAACAAATAATAGTATATTACACACCGAGGAGGGAAGAGATTCATTCCTGTTGTGAGATTAGTTAGTTAACCGAGACGCAAAGCGTTGAGGTTAGCTATGATCTCGAGACAGGAATGAAACTTCCTACCGAGGTTTGTATAGGTCGCGTGCACGATGACCGACCCTGGAGGCAAAATATTGAAACACAACCTCATTCTTCTGTGAATTATTGAAACACAACCTCTCTTTTTTACTTGGTTACAGAGGAATCAAAGGATTGAACTAGTTTTTCACAATATTTTGGCATACGAATCGTGTTTTTTGCGCTATTCATTAATTCGAGCATGCCTTCGCATTGTGCTGTTGTACAATGCACAAAAATGCAGAAAGAGACTAAAGAATATGATTTTTCAGGTAAATAGTAATCTCACATAGTTATCATTATGAAATGTTGTCATTCCTTATTAAAATTCCTTCTGCCTTCTGTCACTTCTGCAATACAAGCTAATACTGCTAATAGATTGAAAATGTCTACAACACACACGATCGTCAGCATGTCAGACCAGTCCTCCCGATTGATTGCATGAATCCAATTTTCTGGCATTATTTTAGAAATTTCAGATGTATTTCTATTAGCTTCTATCGCAGAAAGAATTCCGATGAGAAATCAGAGAAATTACCAAATTTCAAAAATGAAAACTTCATTATGTGAGTGACTATAGTAGGTACTTACTTTTGAATCATATTGTACCAACCGGATTACTTCGTCTTCCGCTGCAGTTTTTGTGCATTTCACAACAGCATAATGTGATGGCATGAGCGAATTGATGAATAGCGGAAAAATACGATTCGTATGTCAAAATAATTGTGAAAAACTATTTCAATCACTTGTAAACAAATAAGTAAAGTGACGTTTGTGTTTCAATATTTTGCCTCCAGTGTCGGTCATCTGACAGTTCTTGCACGCAACCCATACTTTTATATTTACAACCATATTATTATGTAATGTTGTCATTCCTAATAACGTCATCGAAGGTTGGGAACTTGTTCACTGTCGCAAACCGTTCTCTCTCCTTAGAGCTCTACATTTTTCAAATAATTATTGAACCTCATGATATTTCATAACATAAGAAACGTTGAACGTCGCGTGAACTGAATTCTTATTTTCTATGTAGAATCTGGAATTTTAATATAATAGATATACGGCGTAAATTCGACTAGTGTGTACACATTACTGATTCCAATGAGCCTCAAATTTGTAACACTATATATTTTATGTACACTGCACTTATGCATTGTAATTGATGATAATTTTAATTTACAAAATGAATTACTTCTATCTACCTTCCTTGATATAATTTTGTAATGTAAAAACTGAAACTGAAATATTTCATTAGAACTGTACTGAATCAGTTATGCGTTCTTTCAGATGACGTTGATCAGGTACAATGCATGTATACATGTCAACTGTTTCAGTTCAGTTCAAGTGAATGAATAACACTAATGATAAATTCATGTCATTGAATGGTTGCCAAAATAGTGAAGAAAATGTGGGGTGATATTAGGTGATTTAATGTCAATATATTTTTTTAATTATTTCAATAAGTTGTAGATTATAATAATATAATAGTGATTTTTTTAAAAGGGAAACAGCCCTGTATTCTAGAGCTAATTGAAATTAGACTGTGTGTTATCAGTTATGGTTTCCGAAATTAATATCCGATTCTTCCGGTTTCACTGGTAATTATATCAACTTTTAAATTCCGAATTGAAAACCTTGTTTCTTTCTTCTCATCTGGTATATCCAATCAATTCTGGAAAAATTTTCTGATGGAACAATAGATATAGATGACTTCCAAACCAATCAAAAGTTACTGCTGACAGTTGACAATTTGAAATTTGATTAATTTACGAGTGCATTTTTCTATTTGATACACTATGATATACAGGGTGTAATTTAATCAATGGCTAAAAATATAGGATATGGTTCCTTAGCTCATTTTAAGTAGAAAACATATGCCCTGAACATCTCAAATTTCGAGCTATAGGGTGTTGAAATTTGAAGGAAAAAATCGTTTAGTTGTCATAACCTCAATGCTGCTCTAGTTATTTTCATAAAATTTAACATGGGCCTACTAAGCACCAATAGGCATATTTTGATGTGGTAGATTTTCTCTACCATGGCGTCCGTATGGGATGTTTGCTGGAGATTTTTCCTAAAAACTATTGTACCTTGCTCTTTCTTTCTGGATTTCGAAAATTGTCATCTCCGATGAAACTGGAAGATTTAAAGCTTATGACCTCAACATATTAAAATAATGAGAATCCTATAACCTAATAATTTCGATTTTATAGTACATACATGGCTGTTCATTTTTCCTGTACCCGTATTAATTAAGGTAATGAGTTGGTATTGAAACTTCATGTATTATTTGTTTTGTAATTAAATATTATATTCAGAAAATAGGCGGCTGTTATTACCACACCTATTCCTGACTTGTGTGAACGTTTCAAAATTTATTTTTGGGTTCATTTTAGAAACAAATCTGAATTGATCGATTTTCGAAGTCATTTCGTCATTCACAGTCTCAAGATCGATGAGCTTTTTTAAGAAATCAACATCATACATAAAGAGGTGTTTCTAAAATTGTAGCGATATTGAAATGGGTAATAGAAGACGAAAAAACTAAACAAAATGAAAGAATACACTTTTGTGAATGTGATGTATTGCCACTAGAGTGGTGAAGGTATCCAGTGGGTGTTGGATAGAAACTGACATTGGCATGGAGATTTTTGTTAGTTTTCTCAGAAGTCCGCATTTGTGGTGATTATAGAAGTACCATTAATAAAGCATTACAGGAAAACACATACCCTGTACCATCAATACATAGCATACTAGCAACCTTAGCTGGTGGAAAGGTTTTTGCTAAATTATATACCTATGCAACAGGCATACTTACAACTCAAAGTTGATCCGGAAGCTGCTGAGTCTCAAACAATTATAACACACCGTGGTGCATTCAAGTGCAACAGATTACAATTTGGAGTTTCTGTAGCACCCCAGATTTTTCAACAGTTCATTGACATGCGACTCACCTATCGATGACCTACTACCTCTTGCATAGCAGGTAGATACCTACTTCTCCTCATTGTTAATTTGTTTTTACATTAATGAAAGTCCTGGATTTCAAATTCATTTATAATTGTTAATTTTTATGAAGGTATCTTGTGAAATAATTCAGGGAAAAAGAGTATACATGAGCACTGAGGGGAAAAGTATACTGGTAGATCAAAGATGGAATTTTCATCATGGTCATAGATAAATCATTTGTTCGGAAATTAATCGGTTAGTAGCATGATTCAACCATCACGAACGGTTTGTTGATCGCAATAGAAAAATACGCGAAAGGAAATATTTATCGTTCCAAACGGAGTGTTCACTTAAAAATAAGTACAAGTGTAGTGTTTTTGTTTTCCTCATAATTCAGTGTTTCGTGTTGTTTCATCAAAGCTTCTTCGCATTTTTCACGCGGGTGAGTGCAATAGAGATTCCCTGTTTTTCCTCATATATTTCCCTGTTTATATTTAACTCACTTTTAGCTTATATGTTTTCAAAATAAAAATCGTCTGTTCGTTGAATACCTTCAAGATAATAATTCGAAACGAGCAAACCAGAATAAAATAAGACGATTCGAAATTTTTTCATGGAAAAATACCTTTTCAGATTTTAATGTACATACTATACCTGTAGATAAAGAAAACATTTGTGAATCCAATCACTATCCCTATCGATGTGTCTTCCATCTTTCATAATCAATATAATATACCAGGGTATGTTACGACAAGCTTACACCATCGTTATATCGAGAATCAGTATCGGGAGAAATCCATGAAAATGTGCAAGCTTATATTTCTGAATACGCTCTAATGCAGTGTTGCCGCTTCTACTAGTAATTTTTGCATTTTTAGATTCTCCCTGAAAAGCTGATTTCATCAATACATACTTGGGGTCTATCAAAAATGATTAGGGCCATGTGAGCCGTTAAGAGCGATAATGAATAGTTTCGACACAAATTAACAAATTCAAATGTTGAAAAATCTCGATTTTCAACACCCTATATTTCTGTTATCATTTCCGATAGACTCCAAGTGTGATGTATCGATGAGAATCTAAGAATGCAATAAAATACAGGGTATTCTATTAGGAATAACAAAGTTGTTGCTTCTTTATGATAGAAGCGGCAACAATGCATTGCTGAAAATATTTCAAATGAAAAGAGTATATTCTAAAATATGAGCATGCATATTTTCATGAATTTCTCCCGACTGATTCTTGATATAGAAATAGTGTAAGCTCGTCGTGACAAACCCTGTATAGTGAATCAGACATAATAATTGTTAAATTAAAACTTGGAAAATCCATGGCCCACTAGCAAAAATTCATCATAGTCTAATGTTTTAGTGTTTTTTAGGATTCCTGGAAATCCCATGTAGAGGGTGAACAACTATAAGAACGGCTGTCATTCATATCTCAGCAACGAATAATGATACAAGTTTGAGATAGAATAAATCTAATGGTATGCTTATCATAATACGATATGTAATAGAGAAACAAATTTCAACAGAACAACGAAAACCGCAACAGCTTTTCGCCAACGAAATAAGATATTAACTATCAAAGTTGGAAGAATAATAGATATGACAGCCGTTCTGAGTTGTTCACCTTGTACAAAGTTTTATCCGTCATTTTGAATGGAAACAAATAACGGATTCTACTAAATAATAAAATACATGTATCTCCAAAATCATAATCCCTAAAAAAATTGAGTACGCCACTGGATTCTTCGCAAAATTCTCTGTTAGACGTAGTAACTCAGCACAACCTTATTTCTAGTAACTTCGTAGAGAAGCCTGGCAGTCTAAACCAAAATGTACATTTGAATCTGAAACACCCTTTATGTCTCCTTGTGCATTTTACATTCCTCGATAAATTTGCTTGTCTTTTTTCTACCTCTGACTGTTAAATTCTTTCGAATCACAAAAGAGATTTTTGTAAAAATTATATTTTTAGCCTGTGTTTAATTTTTTCAAATCGTTAGACTTTCGAAAATAATAGTGCCAGTATCCGTGTTCAATTCTTCATATATATCTTGTATTGTATAATTTCATTATCGTCATAAGTCATAGATACATCATTTGTTCGGAAATTGATCAGTTAGCATGATTCAACCTATTAGTCATTCATTCGAGACCAGGTGGTGAATCAAGACAGTCTTATATTAGATGTCATCATGTACGGTCGGATTTAGTGATCGCAATTGAAAAATACGCGAAAGGAATTATTTATCGTTCCAAACGGAGTGTTCACTTGAAAATAAGTACAAGTGTAGTGTTTTCGTATCCCTCATTCAATTCAGTGATTACATTATCGCGATCGTGTGCTGTTCTGGAGTTTCGTGTTGTTTCATCAAAGCTTCGCATTTTTCACGCTGGTAAGTGAATAGAGATTCTCTGTTTTTCCTCATATTTCCCTGTATATATTCAACTTAATTATACCTTATATGTTTTCAAATTAAAAAACGTCTGTTCGTTGAACGTTGAATACTTTCAAGATAATAATCCGAAACGAGCAAACCAGAAGAAAATAAGACGATTCGAAATTGTTTCATGGAAAAATACCTTTTTCCTATAAGTACAGGTTGTTTCAAATTTGAATGTAGATACTAAACCTGTAGATAGAGGAAACTTTGGTGGTTCCAATCAGTCCCTGATATGGATGTGTCTCCCATCTTTTACTAGATCTTTTATAATCAATATAATATACAGGGTATATGTCACGACGAGCTTACACTATCTATATATCGAGAATCAGTCGGGAGAAATCCATGCAAATGCGTGCATGCTTATATTTCAGAATACGCTCTCTTCATGTAAAATATTTTCGACAATGCAGTGTTGCCGCTTCTACTAGAAAGTAGTAGCAACATTGATATTTCAAATAGAATACCTTGTATTTCATCGCATTTTTAGATTAGAGCTGATTTCATCAATGTATCACACTTGGGGTCTATCAAAAATGATAACAGAGATATGGGGTGTTTAAATTCGAGATTTTTCAACTTTGGAATTTTTTCGTGTCGAAACTATTCATTATCGGTCAAAACGGCTCACATGCCCCTATCTCAACTTTTGATTCACTATTGACTGATATTTGACGGAACAGATACAGGGTGGTTCAAGATCCAGAATTCTGATCATCATGTGTCTGTTCCGATTAAATATCAGTAAATAGTAGACCAAAAGTTGAGATAGAGGGACATGTGAGCCGTTTTGGCCGATAATGAATAGTTTCGACACGAACAAAACCTAAAGTTGAAAAAAATCTAGATTTTGAACACCCTATATCTCTGTAATCATTTCCGATAGACCCCAAGTGTGATATGCATCAATGAAATCAGCTCTTCAGGAAGAATAAAAATACAGGGTTTTCTATTTGCAATAACAAAGTTGTTGCTACTTTTTGATCGAAGCGGCAACAGTGCATTGCTGAAAATATTTTAAATGAAGAGAGCGTATTCTAAAATACGAGCATGCATATTTTCATGAATTTCCCTGAATGATTCTTGATATACAGATAGTGTAAGCTCGTCGTGAAAATACCCTGTATACATATAGTATATCAGACATAATAATCTTAAAAGTAAAACTTGGAAACTCCATGGCCCACTAGCGAAAATTCATCATGGTCTGATGTTTTAGTGTTTTTTAGGATTTCTGGAAATCCTATGTATAAAGTTTTTTGCGTCATTTTGAATGAAAACAAATGACGGATTCAACTAAATTATAAAATACATATCATATCTCCAAAATCATAGCCACTAAAGAAATTGAGTACGCCACTGAATTCTTCGCAAGATTCTCTGTTAGACGTAGTATTCGTAGTAACTCAGCACAACCTTATTATTTCTAGTAACTTCGTCGTAGAGAAGCCTGGCAGTCTAAACCGAAATGTACATTTAAATCTGAAACACCCTGTATGTCTCCTTGTACATTTTACACTCTTCGAGGAATTTGCTAGATTTTGCCACTACTTCTGACTGTTAAACTCTTTCAAATCACTAGAGATTTTCGTGAAAATTATATTTTCAGCCCGTGTTCAATTTTTTTAAATCGTTAGACTTTCGAAAATAATAGTGTCAGTTTATCCGTGTTCAATTCTTCATCTCATATCTTGTATACTATATATATCTCTGTTCCCCCTGTATTATTTCATTATCGTTATCAGTCATAGATAAATCATTTTTGTTCGGATATTAATCGGTTATATATAAGTCTGTTCGTTTAAAAGGCGAAGTAATGGAATGTGGCAATGGAATGTTGTCGCAAATTTTCAAAGAGAAATCTTCCAGAGTAACCACTAGAGCGGCGTTGATATTTCATGAATTATACGTATAACCTTT